AAAAAAAAAAAAAAAAAAAAAAAAAAAAAAAAAAAAAAAGATGTGTATTAATAGGAAGTCTGAGGTGTAGTAAGGCCACCAGCTCAGGAGACACCTGCCATTGTAACCTGTCATATTCACACATCCCTAGAGGACACATCACCACAGATGAAACACCGGGTGGGTCACGAGGCAGAGAGTGGGGAGCATCAGCCAGAGCCTTTATTATAGATTCTGTGGGAAGGAACAGACAGGGCCAGGCAAGCAGGCTTAGGATTAGCAGGTATGAATCATATATCAGCAGGCTCTGGAGGGAGGAGTTTCTGTCCCTAGCTGCCTGACACCTGGCTTGGGTGGATCACCTGAGGTCAGGAGTTCGAGACCAGCCTGGTCAACATGGTGAAACCCTGTCTCTACTAAAAGTACAAAAATTAGCTGGGTATGGTGGCAGGCACCTGCAGTCCCAGCTACTTGGGAGGATGAGGCAGGAGAATCACTTGAACCCAGGAGACGGAGGTTGCAATGAGCTGAGATCATGCCACTGCACTCCAGCCTGGGTGACAAGAGTGAGACTCTGTCTCAAAAAAAAAAAGCATTGATCAATTGTCCAGGCGAGGTGGCTCACACCTGTATTCCCAGCACTTTGGGAGGCCGAGGTGGGTGGATCACGGGGTCAGAAGATCGAGACCATCCTGACTAACATGATCAAACCCCGTCTCTACTACAAATACAAAATTTAGCCGGACGTGGTGTGTAGTCCCAGCTACTGGGGAGGCTGAGGCAGGGGAATCTCTTGAACCAGGGAGGCAGAGGTTACAGTGAGCTGAGATCACACCACTGCACACCAGCCTGGGTTACAAGAGTGAGACTCCATCTCAAAAAAAAAAAAAAACAAAAAGCATCAAGATTACAGAAGGTAGAAACACAGCTCATACAGTAGGCGGGGGCAGAGGCTCACATTCCACATGGGCTTTGCAGCCTCAGGCAGTATTGGAACCAAGGAGAGCCCAACAATATCGGGGAGGAAGACTGTGCGGAATTTAACGGCAACGGCTGGAACGACGACAGATGTAGTGCTGCCAAATTCTGGATCTGCAAAAAGTCCGCAGCCTCCTGCTCCAAGGATGAAGGGTGGCTTCTGTCCTCCGTCTCTGCACCCCTGACTGCCCATGCAGCGTAGCCGAACTGCACCACTCTTCAGTGAGGTTTCCTCCTCTCCATCCTGGACCTTCACAGAGTCTCTGGGACTGTTCTCTATCAGATTCTTCTTCTTTCTTCTTTCTTCTTCTTCTCTTTTTTTTTTTTTTTGAGATGGAGTCTTGCTCTGTTGCCCAGGCTGGAGTGCAGTGGTGCCATCTCGGCTCACTGCACCCTCCACCTCCCAGGTTCAAGTGATTCTCCTGCGTCAGCCTCCTGAGTAGCTGCTATTACAAGTGTGCACCACCATGGCCAGCCATTTTTTTTTGTATTTTCAGTAGAGATGGGGTTTCTCCATTTTGGTCAGGCTGGTCTCAAGCTCCCGACCTTGGAATCCGCCTGCCCCTGTCTCCCAGAGTGCTGAGATTACAGGCGTGAGCCACCACGTCTGGCCAGATTCTCTATTTTTGTTTTGTTTTGTGAGACAGGGTGTCTGTTGCCCAGGCTGGAATGCAGTGGCATGATCACCACTCATTGCAGCCTCAGCCTTTTGGGCTCAAGCTGTTCTCCCACCTCAGCTTCCTGAGTAGCTGGGACCACAGGCATGTGTTAAGCCCTGCTAATTTTTAATTTTTTTTTTTTTGTAGAGACAAAGTCTTGCTTTGTTGCCCAGACTGATCTGGAACTCCTGAGCTCAGGCGATCTGATGGTCTTGCCCTCCCAAAGTGCTGGGATTACAGGCATGAGCCACTGTGCCTGGCCTCTGTCAAATTCTTCATCTTCTATGGGCCTGAGTCCAGTCTGACATTCTTCTGATGTCTTCAAGGTCCCCTGGTATAAAGTTTATTTTTCTGGCTCATTCTTAGAGCTTTATAAGTCACCTGGTGTGGAATGCCTTTGGAGGGTGAGCTTGGTGTGTTTCATTAATCTACTCTTTAAAAAAATTTTTTTAATGTATTTTAGGTTTTGGGGTACATGTGAACATGCAAGACTGTTGCATAGGTGCACACATGGCAGTGTGATTTGCTGCCTTCCTCCCCATCACCTATATCTGGCATTTCTCCCCATGCTCTCTCCCCAACTCCCTAATCTACTCTCTCTTTTGGAAATTAGAGGATTTGGATCGCTATGTGTAGCTGCCACATCCCCTGGGGCTTTATCTCATCCATGCAAACTACCATCTGCTCAATTTCTGCCTACCAGCCCCTGCACCCCTTTGACTGGGGACTTGCTGGTTGCAAGAGCTCATCTTGCAGGCTGGAAGCACCACGGAATTAATTCCCCCAGTCAACCAATGGCACCCAGGGGGGGCATGGAGGCTCCACACAACCCCTTCCACCCTCACATTGTCCTTTCTCTCATGCATCTCTTCTATTGGGCTGTAATAAACTGGTAGACAGTGTAACCACAGAACTAGCCCAGTCTGGTTCAGCTTTGTGTAACAAAATGGCCGTTATTTTTCAGTTGCCACAGATCCCCAGGTTGCAAGTTATGTACCTTGATCATGCCCCAGATGAACCAAGCCAGCAGGCACAGGCAGAACCTAAGGGTTTGATCCAACAAATGGGGACTGAATTAAGAAGCGGACATCACATGGCATGATCTATGATCCAATCAGATTGTACCCTGACATCATCCCATGGCATGATCCAATCAGATCAAGCCTCCCACATCACCTCATTACATGATCCAGTTAGGTTACACCTCACTACCCTCTATATATAAAACCTGTACCTGCCCCAGCTCAGAAAGACAGATTTGAGCCAGACTCCTCTCTCCTCGCTTGGCTGACTGGAAGTAAACTTTTACCTCTACAAAATCTGGTTTTCCATTTGCACTTCGGTAAACAGACCCAAATCAGTTTGGTAAGAGCATAAGCAAAATGTTTTTCTGAGTTCTGTGAGTCATTCTAGCAAATTACTGGATCCGAAAGGAGTTGTGAGAACCCCCAATTTTTATTGGGCAAGTGGAAGTATGAGTGGCCTGGGCACTCCCTTTGTACCTCAGATCTGAAAAAGGATGACTCCTGCGGAACTGGGCTTTTTAACTTGTGGAATGTGGTCCTAATTCCAGGTAGATAGTGTTAGAGAACATTTTGGTGTAAAAAAAGACTCTACAAATGCTACCTCCCTTCTACGAGTGTTGACTGCAAAGACGTTCCTTCATAAACAGCTTGAAGGCTGAATTCCATCTCATTTAGAGTCAACCTTCAACAGACAAGGGACTGGAAAGCTTGTCTGTACCGTGTCCTGGAGGGCCGAGTCTCCCAGAGGATCTGATTCCAGTTGCCCACGTGGGTCATAAGCTCACTGATGCCCCTGAATTGGCTTCCTTCCCTACTTGACTCTCTTCACTTTCCCCCTCCTCTGCTGGTGCTCCTTGAAATCTCCTCCCAGATAAACAACTTGTATCCAAATCCTTGTCTCAAGCTCTGCATCTGGAGAAACGCAAGCCAGCTTATAATATTTTGATAACTGGTAGGCATGGCTCGTGTGTGTGTATGAGTGTGTGTGTGTGTGTGTGTGTGTGTGTGACGGCCTCACTGTCACCCAGGCTGGAGTGCAGTAGTATGATCATGGTTCACTGAAGCCTCGATCTCCCAAGCTCAAGCAATCCTCCCACCTCAGCCTCCTATGTAACTGGGACTAGAGGCATGCACAACCACACCTGGCAATTTTTTAAATTTTTTGTAGAGACATGGTCTGGTCTGGAACTCCTGGGTTCAAGAGATCCTCCTGCCTCAGCCTGCCAAGTAGCTGGGATTACAGACATGCACCACCACGCTGGGCCAAGTTTTGTATTTTTAGTAGAGACAGGGTTTCGCCATGTTGGTCAGGCTGGTCTCGAACTCCCGACCTCAGGTGATCCACCTGCCTTGGCCTCCCAAAGTGCTGGGATTACAGGCATGAGCCACCACACCCAGCCAAGAATCAGTTTTCTTCCCCTTGGGAGCAGTATCAACCCCATTGACGATGCATGGAAGAGAGTGTGGAAAGGCAAAAACGGTGACTCTACAGTGGAGAAACCTGGTAGACACCGCCTTCACCAAAGTTAGCATGGCCAGTGATCAGGCACATTCATGTGGCTATCATATACCGCCCCCTATAGGAGGTGATTAGAAGGGCACCTCACCTTTGTTACATTCTTAATTGCAAACAGACAACCTCACTCTAATCATCAGCAAACACTAGAAAAGGCCAGGTGTGATGGCTCATGCCTGTAATCTCAGCAATTTGGGAGGCCCAGGTGGGTGGATCACCTGAGGTCAGGAGTCCGAGACCAGCCTGATCAACATGGTGAAACCCCATCTCTATTAAAAACACAACAAAGTAGCCAGGCATGGTGGTGAGCACTTCTAGTCCCAGCTACTCGGGAGGCTGAGGCAGAAGAATTGCTTGAACCCAGGAGGCAGAGGCTGCAGTGAGCCAAGATTGCACCACTGCACTCCAGCATGGGCAGCAGAGTGAAACACTGTCTCAAAAATAAAAAAAAAAAAAAGGGCCGGGCACAGGGGCTCACACCTGTAATTCCATCACTTTGGGAGACTGAGGTGGGTGGATCACGAAATCAAAAGATCGAGACCATCCTGGCCAACATGGTGAGACCCCATCTCTACTAAAAATACAAAAATTAGCTGGATGTGGTGGCGTGTGCCTGTAATCCCAGCTGCTGTGGAGTCTGAGCAGGAGAATCGCTTGAACCCAGGAGGTGGAGGTTGCGGTGAGCCGAGATTGCTCCACTGCACTCCAGCCTGGGCGACAGAGCAGGACTCTGTCTCAAAAAAAGGAAAAGTCCCTGGTCTCTGCATCCCAAGAACATGGTTGTTTCCTTGACCACCTCTCCTGCCTCAGTACAAGCTAAATTGTGTTTCCCCTGTAAATTCATATGTTAAAGACCTAACCCCCAATGCCTTAAAATGTACCGGTATTTGGAACAAGGTGATTAAGTTGAGTGCATGAGGGTGAATCCTAATCCAGTATGACTGGTGTCCTTCTAAGTGGGGAATGTGGACACAGACACACAGAGGGAAGACACTTGAAGACGCAGGGAGAAGGGGCCAGGCATAAACCAAGAAGAGATGCCTGCAGTAGATCCTTCCCCCACAGCCCTGAAGGAAGCAACGCCCCCACCCCTCCCCCAATACCTTGATCCTGGACTTCCAGCCTCTAGAACTGGGAGATAATGAATTCCTGTTATTCAAGCCCCCTCTGCCCAGCCAGCGGTGCTCAGTTTCAGCAGCCCTAGGGAACTCTGTCACTGACTGAATGCGATGTGGGATCCTGGATGGGATTTTACCACAGAAAAAGGACACCCGTGGAAAAACTAGTGAAATCCGAATGAGGCCTATAGCTGTATGAGAGTACTGCGCTGTGAAAGAAAATATCTCGGGCCCCCAAAATCACTAGGCTAAAGGGAGAATTCAAGCTGGGAGCTGCTTAGGGTCAACCTACCCCTCATTCAATTCAAAGTCACTCGTCTGCTCACTAAGATAAATGCATATCTGATTGCCTCCTTTGGAGGGGCTAATCAGAAACTCTAAAGAATGCAACCATTTGTCTTTTACTACCTATTACCTGGAAGCACCTCCCTGATTCAAGTTGTCCCGCCTTTCCAGACCGAACCAACGTTCATCTTATATATGTTGATTGATGTCTCATGTATCCCTAAAATGTATAAACCGAACTGTGGGGCTGGGTGTGGTGGCTCACACCTGCAATCCCAGCACTTTGGGAGGCTGAAGCAGGTGGATTGCCTAAAGTTAGGAGCTCGAGACCAGCCTGGCCAACACAGCGAAATCCCATCTCTAGTAAAAATACAAAAATTAGCCGGGCGTGGTGGCAGGTGCCTCTGATTCCAGCTACTTAGGATGCTGAGCTGGAAGAATCGCTTGAACCTGGGAGGTAGAGGTTGCAGTGAGCCGAGATGGCACCATTTCACTCCAGCCTGGGTGACAAGAATGAGACTTTGTCTCAAAAAAAAAAACCAAATCTGTTCTCTGACCACCTTGGCCACATGTCTTTAGGACCTCCTGAGGCTGTGTCATGGGCATGCCTTCTCAACCTTGGCAAAATAAACTTCCTAAATTTTATTTAGGAACTGAGACCTGTGTCAGATTTCCCGGGTTCACAGTGCCCATATTAATTTCTTCATTTTGACAAATGTTTGACAG